TGAAATTAATGAAACCAATTAACTGTGATGAAACTCAACTCAAGTAAAGGTTACTATAGTTTACCCCAGTCGTATACGGTTGCTATTCCAACACATCACGACAAGCAATCCCCATTGGCATAACGGCAAAACATCTCATCCTTCAAGTAAACAATAAACAGTCTGTTCTTGTTCCGTTTATAATCGAAAAAGTAATCAATTTTGAAATTTTAAGCTTATCGAGAGCCTCTGTGATGAATCACTGATCTAATTATAGAATCCAACAGCAAACAGCCAATCAGAATGCCGAGTTCGTGGGCGAACGAGGAAAGTACAAAATACCGGGTCTTGCTTGCAGGCCCACTATTCTTCCCTTGGGCCTGCACGCGGGCTACTTATAATGTAGAATAAACAAAAACAATGCTGAAAGAACAATTTTCCAGACCTTTAAATTATATAAATAGCTGCTGAACCTAATTTGCATAATTGTTATTTTACTTTTTCTACAACAACAATATGCAAATTAAGTAAGTACATGGATTCAGCGACTATTTAAAGGACGTCAAATTTAGAAAATTTTCTGATATTCGGGCCATCAACAAAACCAATAACATACTTCTCGCCCATAAATTAAAAAATGCGTTTTAAGCTTTTAAATTTTTGGTGCTCCAGCTATTTTTAATGCTACTAAAAAGACACAACCCACCCTGCTCTGGAGTTTTTATCTTTTCGAAATGTTTTCTTTTATTCTACATTACAAGTACCCAAACAATCTATATTTATAAACAAATACATGACTTTATCGGACTTGTGAAATTGAGAGCCATTTTAAAATTGTCTATTTTTTTCTGATACACTAAGTAATAGAACGTGCTTCTCTCATATTTATTTTTGACTCACACATCGCTTGTCTGACTTTAGTTTAATTAACATTTTCGCTATAATCTCTAGCTCAAGAATTGATGTCACAATTAATATCAATATATACGTAGGTATTCCCCAGCGTTGTTCAGGATATATTCAATAATAATCTCTTACGTACCTTTCGCTTCCTTGTAATATGATGCTGTGAAGGCATCGCCGTTAACCGAACGATCTGAAGTAAACTTCACAAAAAGATTCCGACCAGAAGACGTTAGAATCCGGTTTCCAGAACAGAATTTCCCAAGGCTTCTCGAAGATTCTGAGTAACCATCAAATACTTCAACTGAATCACAAGCGCATCCGGAACAGGATTCCAAGTCCAGCCGATGAATAATCAGTTTAATCACATTATTCTCGGGAACGTAGATGCGCCAACAGGACGCGGCGTTGTTTGGGTAGCGATCAGGATAGCCTGGACCTTTTATGGTCCCATTTTTACTTTGGAGAGTTGGTGTTGACTGGCAAGAACCTAGAAAAAACAGGACATCTCACTTATTTCATTCATTTCTTCCACAACCAGAAAAATTACCGACGAGTAGGGAAAATGAAATAATTACACACATTAGATTAAGTATTTTTAGCTTTTTTAAATATTGTTATTTTTAAACGATAAATTTGAGTTGAAATTTTTGAGAACTAGTAAAAATATCTATGTTATTTACCGCGGCTGCGAGGTTCGTACTGAAAAAAAATTCCCTAGGTCGCTGAAGCGGCCCGGGGTCGAAGGCCGAAGGTCGCTTTTGAGACCGATGGAAAATATTTTTAGTCCGGACTGGCGATCTAAACGGCAAACAACGTGTTCAATTTTTTTACTTGTTGGTTCATGGTTATAATGAAATTTCAACAGAATTCCAGTTCCGCGAAGTACATTTGAGTTCAGTTGTGTACTTGCATTTGTTACTTTAGTGTAAGCATGGCTGACAAGCTGTTAAAACGACGCGTCAAAAACTGGATAAAAAACCTTTAATTAAAAGAGAAGCTATGTATCCTGAAAGGGAAAAGGAACAATTCACTGAACACGCGATCAGAGTTTTCAGGTGTTTTATTATCTGTTTTGTATACTATTTGTATACTATATATATACATATATATATATATATAAATATATATATATATATATATATATATATATATATATATATATATATATATATATTTATATATATATATATATACACACAAATTATTTTGTTCTCTGGATTGTACTTTAATTGTTTCGAACTTTCTACTCGGTACTTCTGGTTCTTTGGGACGTCATATACACAAACATATATATATATATATATATATATATATATATATATATATATATATATATATATATATATATATATATATATATATA